GGGGGGGGGGGGGGGGGGGGGACAAGACAACGCAAACAACACAACAAAAAGCACAACAACAAACACACACACCTCAGACACACACATATAGCGGCTTGTAGTACACACGTGTGAAAAACAAAATCGAGTGTCCATTGCACCGATAAGGCTTCCATGCCTCCAGCAGTCCCAAGTCCCTATTCCATAAGTCACACATTGGCCATAATGACAGTTAGTATTAGAACGATCTACAAAGTGATAACAATATTAAAGAAAGAAATAAAATAGTAATAGCAATAAGTAAAAATATAAGTATAACTGCAGTAGTATTAACAGTAAATAAACAAACAGAAAAAAAACAAAAAAAACACCCAAAACAAAACGAAAAGGAAACAGATCACAACAGCAGCTGTATTTGAAACCAAAAGAGGAGAGCAACAAAGTGCCGTAATTTGAACTCGAAAAGCTGCTGTCCTAGTTGCCATACAGCAATACGTAAAGCAGAACCAAAATAGCTAAAGTAGCCATCAACGAAAATGCTGCACATATTATATCCAACAGTAATCAGTCCTCCGCAGGTTCGGGGACAACATTCACCGGGAGAGTGCGAGATGTGATGAAATCCGTGGCTTCTCTCACCGAGGGCAGGCACTTCCTCGAGCCGTCCTCGGTAACAATAAACAGCCGAGCTGGATAACGTAACGCTGGCTTGACACCCATGACGTACAGCTGCTTCATGACATCGCGATATTTCCCACGCTGTTCCCTCGCAGTAATCCTCAAAGACGTGAATGGGAGAGCCTTTATATTTCAGCTTACCACGCATTCTTCCGGCCGCACGCACCACTAGCTCCCGGGTCTGAAATCGGCTAAAACAAACAACCACGGACCGTGGCTGCCGAGAGGGCCCCGGTTTAGCGGCCAGGGTGCGATGAGCCCTATCCAATTCGGGCGGCGAAGTGAGAGTATTGTCCCCAAATACCTCAAAAAGCATCTGGGAGAAAAATGCAGTTGGTTGGGGGCCTTCGATGCCTTCTGGGAGGCCAACAATGCGCACGTTGTTGCGGCGACTCCTTCCTTCGAGATCCGTTAGCCTAGCCTTCAACTTGACGTTGTCTGCTAGCAAAGCCGTGATCTTAGATTGCACATCCTGCAGATCTCCGTCAACAGAGCTCGCAAACTCCTCCAGTTTGGAAATACGTTGATGGTGGTCGTTAACAGTGGTCTGAAAATTGTCCAATTTGGTCTCGAGTTTCGAGTATGATTCTTTGAATTCCGAAAGAAGCGCCTCTTTGTGCTCGGCTAGCTTAGCTGTTAGCAGCGCCATGATGGAACTGGTGAGGTCATCGTCATCTCTCTTCGATCTTTTCGACATTCTCGAACAAAAAAGGGTGTAAAACACAAAAGGTAAAAGCAACCAAAAATAAAACAAGTTTAGAAAATATAGTGGCCACGTATAAGTTGTAAAGTCAGGGAGCGCGGACTGACACGTCTACTCCATCTAGTGGTCAAGGCGGAAGTCCTGTTTTATTTGATTTCTTTCAAAGTACTTACTGCTTTAATGTCGGTCGTTCTTACACTCGTTGTCGTGGCAAAGAGAGCATTCTTTACACCACAATTACATACTAAGTTGACTGGGTATGTGGGATTCAGTGTCTTATAAGGAAAATAAGCATGAACAATAGTAATTGATTAATAAATGAATTAATTGCTACAACTTTAATATACAAAAATAGTTATTTGGCATTTACAGGGAGAAATGTTCGTGAATATTATAAATATAGGACCATGTTGGGTTCATTTTCCACTAAATGGCATAAAAGGAGCACATTCCTTCCTGCCTATCTGGCAAAACTCAGTATAATCTCTTCCCTGAATATTGCATTGATTGCTTTATTAAAAGAATATTCAAGGGTAAAATTAGTGCTTTTTAAAGACATGCACATATATTATTAATAATAATGATAACAATATGATAATAATAATCAATTTTATTTTGTGCCTTTCATGCCACTCAAGGACACTCAAGGAGACCGTCATCATAAAAACAACATGGAAACATAACAAACATATAACAAACATGGGCCGCAGCTAACGGCTACAGCGGGTGGACCATATGCGGAGCCTCTGCTTGCAAGCGGGCGGCCTGGGTTCGATTCCAGCCCATGGCCCTTTCCCGCAGCTCTCCCCCTCTCTATCTCTGCCCCCTTTCCTGTCAAGCTACTGTCATTAAAGGCCACTAGAGCCAACAAAATAAAAAAAATAAAAAAAGAAACATGGAGAGAGGAGGAGGATCTGAGGGAGCGTGCTGTGGTGACTATGTGGAGGAGGTCAGTCAAGGTTTCGTGGGCAAGGTTGTGGATAGCTTTGAAGGTGTATGGTGGGACTTTGAATTGGACTCTTAGAGTGACTGGGAGCCTGTGAAGTTGCTTTAGGATGGGGGTGATATGGTTGGAAGAAGGGGTTTTGGTGATGCCATACCATACCATACCAGCTTTATTTATAAAGCACTTTAAAACAACCACAGTTGATACAAAGTGCTGTACAATCCAAAAACACAACAAAATAAAAGTAGTTCAAAAACAAAGACATACACTTTAAACTAAATCTCACTTTAAACTAAATCTCACTGGTGTTGAAAGCCAAGTAAAATAGATGAGTTTTAAGACGAGCTTTAAAAGTGGACAGAGAAGGGGCCTCTCTGACCTGCAAAGGTAAGTCATTCCATAATTTGGGGCCCATAACAGAGAAAGCCCTGTCCCCTCTGAGCTTCCTTTTTGTTCTCGGTACCTCCAATAGTGTTAGGTTGGGGTTCTTTTTCCTGTTTGTTTTCTTTTCCTCTTCTGTCCTGGGGTTTTTCTGGGAAGCTGCGTTTCCGTTATCAGCCATCAGATGTCACCAGTGAGCGGAGCCCCTGGAGAAGTGTGGCGGCCAACCTGTAGACGCACCTGTGTCTAATTTTCGAGAGCTGCAGAGGTGCTTCATAAGGACAGCCTAGCTGACACTCCAGTGCCTGAGTGTTTGCCTTCACTGATTTCCCTGTGGCTCCTGGACGTGGACAAGCGCTCTCCCTTGGATCTCCTTGTGTTCCTCACGACGCCATTGGGGATTACCAATCAGTCGCCTTCCTCCGTGGACTTACCCCCCTGTTCCCTCCCCGTGGATCCTCTGTGCCTCGCCACAGGCTGAGCCTGCCGGCGAGCTCCGGGAGCTAACGGTCGAAACCCCGCCAGGAGGTCAGCTCACTCCGCTCTCCAGCTCCAAGTCTTACCTGCTCGCTCTCCGACGGTAACCCACTTCTCCAGCCGCCACCACCAACAACACTAACCTCCGCATTCAATCTGACGACCAGCTTCCTCCAGTCCCAGGTTCCAGAACTATTTCCCCTGACCCCTCTTCCTTTCCCCAAAATAAACACCACTGTTGTTTCATATCGCTTCTCTTGGAGTGTTCTTGCATGTGGGTAACCCGGCTATCACCCATCATGACAAATAGCAGCTGATTTGCTGACCTGAGAGACCGATGGGGTATGTGGGGATGAAGAAGCTCAGTGAGGTAAGCCGGGGCGAGATTATGCAATGATTTATAAACAAACATAAGAATTTTAAAGTGAATCCTAAAATATACAGGCAGCCAGTGAAGTGAGGCCAGGACAGGGGTCACATGGTCCCTTTTGCGAGTACCTGTCAACAAACGTGCAGCAGCATTTTGTACTAGCTGCAGACGTGAGAGCAGCGCCTGACTGACTCCCAGATAAAGTGCGTTACAGTAGTCCAATCGAGTTGAAATAAAAGCATGGATCACTGTTTCAAAATGCTGCCTGGAAAGAAAAGATTTCACTGACGCCAATCGTCTTAAATGATAAAAGCTGGACTTAACCACGGCTCTAATTTGGCTGTCCATTTTAAAATCACTATCCACCTTAAAACCAAGATCTGTAATAACAGGTTTAAAATATTCCTCCAAAGGTCCCAGGTCAACAGAGGAGGACTCACAAGAGCCACTAGGTCCAAACACCACCACATCTGTTTTGTTTTCATTAAAGTTTAAAAAGTTCAAGGCCAACCAAGCTTTAATATCTCCTAGGCAAGCCAGGAGATGTTTGATTGACTGTACATCCTGCTGCTTTATGGGCAAATAAATCTGACAATCATCAGCGTAACAATGAAAAGAAATCCCATGTTTCCTAAGGATAGAACCCAGAGGCAGTATATAAAGAGAGAAAAGCAGAGGGCCAAGAATTGAGCCCTGAGGGACACCATAAGACATTGAGGCAGGAGATGATTCAGAGCCCCCAATATTCACCGAAAAAGTTCTCTCCTCCAGGTAAGACCTGAACCATTTTAGAACAGTGCCATCAATACCAACAATGTGGTGTAATCGCGATATTAAAATGTTGTGGTCCACTGTATCAAAAGCAGCAGTTAGGTCAAGTAACATCAGAACAACATGGTGACCAGAATCACATGCAAGAAGGACATCATTAAAAACTCTAATCAAAGCAGATTCTGTACTATGGAGAGTTTTAAAACCTGACTGAAATACCTCCATGATGCCATTGTCATCTAAAAACTGTGTCAACTGACAATACACAATTTTCTCTAAGACCTTAGAAAGAAAAGGTAGCTTCGAAATAGGCCGATAGTGTAATGAACGTGAATAGGACCCAGAAGCAACCAGAGGCGAACGGTCAGTTCAAACAGATTTATTTGCAGACAGGGGCTCGGCAAAGGCGTGGTCAGAACAGTCCAGGTTCGGTAACGGGTGGTCCAGGCAGCGCAGATAATCCAACTCGTGGTCAGGGGCCGATCGAGGGTCAAAGCCAGGGGAGCAATCCAGGGGAGCAGGCGGGAGCACGTAGTCAGGCAGGCGAGGTCGGAACACGGGGAGGCAGGCAGGATCAAGAGACTGACGGAGCAGATCTCAGGCAGGCGGACTAAACAGACAGGGAGTAGGCAAGCTCGGGAGTCGGAGTCAGACGGGTCGTAATCAGGCAGACAGAAACAGGATATAATGCTGGAAGTACTCACACAAGGCTCGATACGTTCTGGCATTGATTTCTGGCAGGCA